TGACTTAAATGTTCATTATCTTCTTTTATCAGACTATTTTATTTGGAATCATTAAGATAAGTGTCAATATTTCATACACAACAAATACTTATCATCAATTAACCCCGCCCATTCATAAATGTAAGTTATTGTATGTAGTGTATCCAGATTCATGAGATAAAACAGTTTTATTTCTTTGACATCGGCAGGACTACTAAATCACAATTAAATTCATTTATCCACTTATTTGAGTCGTGATACGAATCGCATCGTAGCACCTAAATCGTATCGTGATTGCAGTGGCAATATCAAGCACTAATTGTATGCACACTCAACAGATTTTGACAAAAAATATATAATATGTAAATTTATTTGGCTTGATGACTTATAAGAAATTGCATGAAAAATGCTTATCAGGTTATTCTCCTTCAGTAAAACCAGGTGTTAATTCTTATGGCTAAAATTAGTTTTTTGTAATATGTTATTTTTTCAAATGTTTGCATTCGACAAGCAAGACTTTTATATATTTGTTAAAGGACAATATTGGTGCCAGTCATTATCACATATGTGTTAGAGCTGGTTAAACACATTCCAAATATACTTTTAACACAGAGATCATTGCTACGATAGCTGAGTAATACAGGTTTCCCGTATCGGAAGTGACGAACGCCAAAGGAAAACACGAGTCACCGCTCAATATAACTGACTGAAGCGATGAGTGATAACAGATATACGGCCGAATTTCTACTCACTAATAATTCCTTCGAAGACCAAAAGTTGTTGTGTGAGACTGTGAGAGGATATCTGACAATTCATAAAAAGAATTGACTGCCACTAGATAAGAGAACACGAAAGAAAAACAGAAAAAGTCTGTGCACTACCGTGTTTTTATAAGGTATAGAATGAATATAAACAAGGGAATGTACGGACTATTTCTATTTTTCTCGTGGTCTCTTATCTAATGACATTCAATTACTTTATTGAATTGTCAGATATCCTCTTACAGTCCCATATAACAACTTTTGGTCTTCGAAGGAATTATTAGTGAGTAGAAATTCGGCCGTATATCTGTTATCACTCGTCGCTTCAGTCAGTTATACGGAGCGGTGACTCGTGTTTTCCTTTGGCGTTCGTCACTTCCGATACGGGAAACCTGTATTACTCAGCTATCGTAGCAATGATCCCTGTGTTAAAATTATATTTGGGATGTATTTAACCAGCTCCAACACATATGTGATAATGACTGGCACCAATATTGTCCTTTAAGATGATGGACTGCAGTTAATGGACATACCATATACATGTATTCTACTGCCTGGCTTAACAAGTTCAAAATATCCTTTGGGATATCAATAAGTAAAATATATTGTACTGTCTGTAAAGAGAGAACCTATCTGAACTGTTTTTTGGTAGATTGCATAGAAATATTTTTTGCGATCCTTAAGGCAATATGCGAGACATTATTTGGCAGGTAGCTTAAACAAAATTCAAATCAAACTTTTCGTTTTTCCCATGTGATTAATTGTTGCTATAACACATTGTTGTGATTAAAAACATCCTTGCATAAATGGCAGTCAACATTTCTGCACATATTTTTTGTAGACTGGAATTGAGAAAATTTCCAAAAATATTTCTTAAACTCACAAACAGCTTAACATGAATGTCTTTTATGCATTTTCAAGACGTTTTTATTCTAGCATAACAAAGTTGGGTTCTACCGAGTTCAACTGCTTTATCTTTCCATTATCAAAATAACATTTGACAATAACCAAATATGATATTTAGACACTTATAATAACAGAGCTTATAAAAAGGTTTTTTTAGAAGTATTCTTAATGCACATTCACTAAAAATATTTGTCATGTAACAATATCAACAGAGCTGATAAACCACAGGTACCGTGCATCACTGCAAACAACTGGATCTAATACTCACAGATTGTGTTTTGGAGTTGCCGTTATAATGCGTTAAACAAATGCACAGCCAAACATGTTTAATAACGGTACTCATTTATTAGGCCTACTTATTCTTGATTCAATCCATTTTAATATCCTCATCTAACATACATTTGTCTATTTATACAAATCAGTTACTTAGAAAGTGTTGACATAAACATATAATTATTGAAGGATTAAGAATTAAGGCATTTAAAACAATAGTTAGATGAGACTTAACAGATCAACCACTTTAGTTGCCAGCCTGTCATAATTTGACTGACAGGTTAATTGCTGCCTGCCTCTAATGACTAACCAAACATTAATGAAAATTAAAATATAGATTTGAAATTTAAAACAGAATTGAAAAATAATAAAATAACATATGACCTAGGCATCGGTCAAACAAGTCTGCCAGTTACTCTTAATGAAAACCCACTACAGCCCAGTTTAAAATGAAATGAAATGGGGTTTAAAGTCCAACTGTTCTGAGCCGACAGAGCTAATGAAGGAGGGCATATGCCAAACAGTGTGCTATGAGCAACTTTTAGACACAAAAGGTGGGGTTCACCTTATGAGTGGTAAACGGAGGGCCTGACAGTCAATCAAACTGGTAAAACAAATCTGAGGTTCTGTGTAAGTATTCTTTGGCATGCATGATAAAGAACCCTTGACAGTTGTAATTCCAAATAAAGAGTTGGCTGTAGTATCACTGTCCGGGAAAGTTTTCCCTCATAGCACACTGCATGGTATATGCTTATATTCATTAGCTCTTATGGGGAAGAGACGTAGGACGTTAAAACCGTGTTAAAATCCATTTAATTTAGGTTCAAAAATTGTATGGGGTACTTATGACATTTCAAAGAAATAACAGCAGAAAAATGTCTAACAGAGCAGATGAGCTGTTATTATGTTAAACATAATATCATATATTATTTTAAATAGGATATAAAAGAAATATGTCACTGTTATGTTGCACAAACAGTTTCTAAATCAAAATACAATTAAATGCACAGATACCATATTTCTACAAATAAATTAAATAACTAATACCAACAGTGAGGGACATGTAAAAAAACATCTAAGACATTCTTTTTTTTTTCACTGAATGTAAATACAGAACAATAAACAAAGTAAAATCACCAACTGGCCGTCTGCCCAGATATCAATGCATGGTGTCTGTATGTCCATACAAATTTTGACCGCATGTGATAATTTGCCAAAATCTATATGATCACAGCATTAATCTGCCTAGTATCATTTTATTCTTGAATACATGTAATTAAAAGGCCCATGAATATAAAAATATATGACTAACACATATCTCTGTTTGATCGGGGTTATTAGTTAAGCTGTGTCGAAGTCAGGTTTTTTTCCTTGGAATATTTGGTTTCTTTATTGGAAAAGTACATAACTCAGCACTGCCCACACATTCTATGTTCTTCTGATGCTAGACAGGTCATGGTAACATGCCTCATCTCTTTATATTTAAAGTTCATATCTATAAATAGGGTTCCAGACGTGTTTGTACTGTACAACAGTTTGTTAAATAATAATAACATCATAGATGATTTTTTTCCTCTAATCAAATGTATTTAAAAGCCAATTTACACCAATTTTCTTACTATTATTTCACTGAGTATTAAACATAAAGTCTGCATTCTATCAAGATTCCTAATTGGCAAATAGGCTCTGTTTTGTAACAGAATTCCAGGAATTGAACCTAAAAACAAACAGATCATCATTAGATGGTTTGATGTAACATCTGACAACTTCCAACCACCAGAGTAGACAGAAATCTTCAAATGGGTTATGTATGGCTATGGATTAATTTCTCTTCACAAAACTGTTACTTGAGAACTCTAGTATATCAAAATAATTTAATTTTCTTACATGCACAAATAAAGTTGTAGAAGGTTGTGTCTACCATATTCATAAAAGGAATTAAAGATGCATTATGTAAGAGCTAAATCTGCAGGTCTTTATTTTGGATTCAAATTTTATATAAATTATTATTTATACATTTATTCACATGACAAGCCTGTAATCAACTCCTAGAGCATTGGATGGCAGAGATTTAAACGGATTGAAACACTATCACCATTTAATGAATTAGTTACAAAATGGTGAATCAAGGCCGAGTCTCAATTAGCAAGTACTGTTGCTACAATAATAAACAATCTATGCCACATCTTGCCAAACTTTAAACAGTGGTAACTTCGCTCAGGATATAGTAATTTGAATGATATTTTCAATATATTCATTTTGCATTATCTATTTTAGAACTATTACACCAAGAACACCACACTAAATCTAACGTACACACACACACACTAGTAAATGATCATATTTCTTTCAAATAATATTAGAAACTATTTTCAAATAGTTTTTAAACACATAAGCTACAGATTGGACAGACAAATGTATATTTGCACAAACTAAATGTTCCAGGCATGCTTAATAATAGTGGTAAAGTAATACGGATTAAGAAAGCAACTAATAAAAATATAAAATATTGTGTTTTATTATTTTCAATTCTAGATAATATCATTGTGAATCTCTTTCATACACATATATTGAAACAGCTATAACTGAATGACATTATCCTGTAGCATTAATAATGTTATATATTCCTTATTTTATCTGGAGGCAAGCTGTATACAGCATTGCCCAAAAGGCACAGACTTTGAAATGTTTCGATGTAAACTTGATGGCATATAAACGAAACTTCAGGATGGGTCCCAACTATTTACACATAAAGGTAAAATATTTATCTTCAAATATCAACCCATCAAAATAACATCTGACATATTGCCATGCAATCAGAAGAACCAAACAACCTTTTTTTGTCTTCATTTTACAACTTCAGTATGCTTAATCGTGGACAAAAGTCAATATGAATTATGCAAAAGTTTAAATATAACATATCGAAAGAGCATTATTCATTCTTATAAAACTTGGATAGCAGAAGGCAATTTCTAAAGTTAAAACGTATAATATAATAGTTGGCTGAATTTGTTCAAATTCTCTTTCCCTATTATCCCTAGACAATAACTAACTTTTCTCAAATTGAAAGTCAAACATTACCTGACTCGGATGATTCACCAGATGCTTCATTGTCATAGGGTCGTCTCTGTTGTATTTGTAATTCTAATCTCCAAGGACGATGCATATCCAATATTTGACGAAACGTAAGATTGGTAAACAGTGAAAACAATTATTCATATTTAATATGAACGTAAGTAATACAAGGAGTATAGTAATATATATTGTCTGTATGAATAACCAAATGTACACATGACAAAACGTTAATTTTGCCACTTCATTGATAAACACAGCATCCACACATCACTCTCAATGTAAAAGTGTCCATTAGCAGTACAAACACATGTACACAAAACTTGTTGCCAAAATCAACGAGGATATATTTCAAAGCTACGACTTGCTTCAAGTTTGTCGTGTGTTTAGTCAGAGTCAAGATATAGCGTGGAGTAAGATACTGGCCTTCAATGAACCACTGTTTATTTTCCACGTTTACTCAGGGTCTGTTATGGGATCGTAAACCAATTTTACTTGTTTTAAAAAAATATCTTGAATCCATGCCTGGGAGTGCCACCCTATGACAAGTTTCTGGCATTTGAAAGAGATTTGGGTAATCCAGTCTCAAGTCGTTACATTTTTCAATGGCTGCATGTACTCAGTAGATTGACAAGTGGTTATGAATGATCTTAACCTTTGCTGAATTTAGACAACTTAATAACATTTCCAACAAGTATGACTCATCCTTTATAATACATTTTGACAGATTAGATGGAAGCAAACTATTCTTTTAAAAAATCTTTATCCAGACATAATCCTTCAAATGCTATTGATCTAATGAAATGTATTCCACTCTGCTTTCGAAATGCATCTAAAGTTTCAATCTCTAGACGATCTTTTATTTTCTTGCATTTTCTAATCACCTTTTTAAATCTAAAATTTCTCTCTTCAGGCAAAATTTCGGAAATTGAACTTCAATGAATAGCATGCTTTAAATTTCACACTGTCATTATGAAGAGTGTAAATTAATTATGGCTGGTGTATAATTAGAAACAAGCTATGTACATGTCTGTGCTATTTGATGACTGTGTATAAAATTCAGTTCTTTATGGGTTTTGACAATTAAATCTTAAATCATTGACTCAAGACAACTCTCAAATGACCAATCTATTTAAAGAAGCATTATGTAAGATTTAGATAAAGAGCTGGTCGTTCTTGCTATCATAGTTCAAAAATAGATAATGCAAAATGAATATATTGAAAATTTCATTCAAATTACTTTATTCTGAGCGAAGATATTAGCCTTTGAAGTTTTGACATGATGTGTGCACTGATTGTAACCACCTTGCTGTTTGTTTGAGGTTTAGCCTCGCTTCACCATTTTAAAATTAAATCATTAAATGGCTGAACAGTTTTAAGATAGATTGCCAGGCAACGAAACATACGCCCACAACAGCTAAATCGTCCGGGCAGTCAACAAGAGTTGTTGCATATTTTTACTTTTTTCGGTAATGAAACATTTATAATACACTAAAATCTGATTAAGAGCAACAACTCATGAAGTAATTATCAGAAAACCATTAGAATTTGTTTGTTTTTTAGAAAGTTCTGCCCCATGCTAATATCATGGATTTAGCTGTTCAAGACATAAAAATTCATTGAAAATCAATATACTTGTTCGTCTCAAGATCTTAAGCGCTGTGTATCAATCTGAAGTCAATTGGATGATAACTTTAGCCTTTAGAGCGTCACAAAGTGATCAAGGGCCATAACTTTGGCAGTAATTATCGGAAATCATTGAAAATCGATAGGATTCTTTGTCTCATGACCTTAATAAACACTGTGTATAAATTTAAAGTCAATCGGATATAAATTTTGGCCTATAGAGTGTCCACAAGATTTTTCAAAGTGATCAAGGGCCATAACTCTGGCAGTAATTATCGGAAATCGCTGAAAATCAATAGGCTTCTTCGTCTCATGACCTTAAACACTGTGTATAAATTTGAAATCAATCAGATATTAACTTTGGCCTCTAGAGCGTCCACGAGATTTTTCAAAGTGATCAAGGGCCATAACTCTGGCAGTAATTATCAGAAATCGCTGAAAATCAATAGGCTTCTTCGTCTCATGACCTTAAACACTGTGTATAAATTTGAAGTCAATCAGATATTAACTTTGGCCTCTAGAGCGTCCACAAGATTTTTCAAAGTGATCAAGGGCCATAACTCTGGCAGTAATAATCGGAAATCGCTGAAAATCAATAGGCTTCTTCGTCTCAGGACCTTAAACACTGTGTATAAAGTTAAACTCAATCGGATATTAACTTTGGCCTTTAGAGCGTCCACAAGATTTTTTGAAGTGATCAAGGGCCATAACTCTGGCAGTAATTATCGGAAATCGCTGAAAATCAATAGGCTTCTTCGTCTCATGACCTTAAACACTGTGTATAAATTTTAGGTCAATCGGATATTAACTTTGGCCTCTAGAGCGTCCACAAGATTTTTCAAAGTGATCAAGGGCCATAACTCTGGCAATAATTATCGGAAATTGCTGAAAATCAATAGGCTTCTTCGTCTCAAGACCTTAAACACTGTGTATAAATTTGAAGTCAATCAGATATTAACTTTGGCCTCTAGAGCATCCACAAGATTTTTCAAAGTGATCAAGGGCTTGTGGACGCCGGACCGCTGGCCGGCCGGACGGAGGCGACAGCAATATACGACCACATTTCAATGTGGGCGTATAAAAATTGGATGACATCGAGAGGTGATTATGGTCTTGTCATGTTAATAAATGTCTAATTAGTAGTTTATATAACATTTAAGGCACAAAGAAAGACCTACAATAGGCAAATTTAGCTCTTGCATAATGCCTGTTTAAGGGACCACAAAATGTAGTTCTTGTAAATTAGAATCTAATTTTTCCACACTGTCTATTCCCTTATTCTAACCATTATTCATCATAGAGCAACATTTTTGCCCATTATAATATAGCAAAGGACAAGGATTTAAACTGACATCTAAATAATACAAAATAAAAAGTTATCTATTAAGTTTCCATGTTTAGATATGAAAAACTGTCATTAGTGGATAATAATCGTTTATTACATGAAAAGAAAAAAAACCTGTACATTAGACCCAATCTATCTTCTATACTATCTATTTATCAATTACATTTTAAATGATATGTTATGTTATACACAACAGATCAAGTCTCAATACAACAATCTCTAATATATTTCCTGTATTATAATGTATACATGTCGTGCAATACTGACCTATTCATTATGTATTAATATATTCATTAAATCCATGTATAATGTATTGAATAATTGATATAGTGTAGTTTTATATTGGTCTGACTCATACCAATGTGAAATCTATTGATTAATTTCTCATGATGTAACACACATTAAAGACAACCTGCAAGGGTATCTTTATAAGCTGTGCACTAAAAGATACAATACATGTCCACTAGCTTACAGATTAAAGAGAAAGTCACAGTTTTTACAGGCTCTCAATCAGTTAATTTGAGAATACATGTTTAACACCAGAACATAAAGACATAGGTGATACTAAGATGTATTATGTAAGACTGGAGGTCTTTAACTGGTAACTCTTTAGACCATCAGATGGATTAGAACACATGTAAGATTTACAAATTCAACAGTTAAATGGATAATCAAGACTTTGATTGTGTCAAGAACTTTTGCTACAATAAACAATCTATGTGACATATTCAAACACTTATAACTTCACTCAAAATAAAGTAATTTAAATGAAATTTTGAATACATTTATTTTTATTATTCTATTTTTGAACTATTGTTGCAGGCTCTTTATCTAAATCTGACAAAATGCATCTTTAATAGACCATTTTATTTGTTTTGGCAATTTCAGATAAAAATATATGCCATTTGGAAATGTAACTGCTTCAGAGCCATGGCCTTTATTTCTCCATTAAGCGACCTGATAAACTCAAGTCTTTTATATCTTTCCTTACTGGTAATTAAAACAGAGTAATGAGCTACAAAATTGTATTAATCAGTGACAAAGACAAAAGAATTTCATTACAAACACATCTGAGATTAGGCACATACATGTAAGTGATTGTTATTCAAGAAACTTGTCTCAACATACAAATAGACATCAGTTTGTCTTTATAAATATTAAACAAAGCTGTGAATAATCACTTAGAATTAGAATAAAAACACAATACTTCGGTCATTTCATGACTGACATATATATATTCTATGTCCAAGTGTGCAATAATATGGGGACAATTTTCCCAGACAGTTTGATTTCCATCTACTCTTCATCAAATTCCCAGGGTTCTTTCACGTGCACACCAATGACTATACAAGTGCATCTCATTTTTTTCCTCCCATCCCAATGAGTAGACATCACTTTATTTGTCATCCCTGCAAGTGCTAACGGTGACATGTGGCATAAAAAATTATAAAATTCTTTTCAGCCCATGCCAGGATTGAAACCCAGTACATACTAGTTATATGACCACAACCCCTCTGGATCTAGAAAGGAGTCTTTCATACAGACAAAAGCAGTTTTATTTACTGAAATATATCTGAGATGTTTTGTATGAGTCCTTTAGGCTTTAATGTATCATTACAACACAAGCTATCGAATTCACATTAAAAACAAATCTATTTTGCTTTAGATAATTTATCATGATTAATCATACATGTATATATCTAATTGATGATTCTAAAATATTTGATATTATTTAACTTTTATTCAACAAACTGAAGCACAATACGAAACGTAAAGAACCAAACTATTAGCAAGTTTTCTTTCTTGAATCTTGAACAAATTGTCTTTATGAAATTATCTCCCTTTTTACAAAGGTTGAACATATTGGGGTACACAATAGCTCATTCCAAGCTTAATTATCATAATGTTTTAAAAGTGTCAATCAAGTCAACATGCAACACGGCATGGGTCAACTGAGTATTATACTACCTCCACCAATTTGGTCAACTTAGAATAATCCAGTCGGACAATCGAGCACCACCTTAGATAAGTACACCATACCTGTTTATCTAAATTCACATTTGGAAGATAATTTAAAGTACCATAACAATGTAATCAGCCAGTCTAGGTGTTCAAGTGTACTACATGCATATATGGGAGCAGGACAATTGCCATCGGAACATCTGCCGATGATTGATATCATCTGTTTTTCTGTATTTATGTCCTTTTTGTTAAAAATAATCAATACTTAATAATTCACTTTTCTTTATTATTATCAGACAGGTTCAGTTTACATCAAAAATCTAAGCGCATCAATTGATTCATGATTGTCTAATGAAATCAATAAAATGGGTTTAAAGTCCTACTGTTCTGCTCCGACTGGGCTAATGAACACTGGCATATGCCATACAGTGTGCTATGAGGGAAATTTTGCCTGGCCTACTATTATATC